CACACTACAGCCTCTCAGCAGCAGCAGCAGCAGCAGCAAAATAATCAACAGCAGCAGCAGCAGCAAAATGATGGCCATGAGCAGGTGCAGTGACAGTCTTAAAATTGATTGAGTTTGCATGTTTTAATGCTCTTTTTGGCTTTCCCACCGCTAGAACCACGTTGGCGAGAACTCATCACAATCGTTGGCCGGCTCTTGGCTGTCCAACATCTTACCACCGGCACCGACGCGTCCGGACAGCATTGAGAACTCGGCCAGCAATACGCCAGTTCATAATAACCTCGTTAGCCCCGTGAAGCCGGTAAACCTGCTGCCCGATGTGCCGGCCAATCACAATCCACGTCGTCTGACCGACAAGGAGCAGAAGGATTGCGACGTTATTGGTAGGTCTAATCAAACCGAATGCTCACTGGAGCCTCATTCATTTTGTTTGCTTTGCAGAGCGCCTGATCAAATCGTATTTCTACATTGTGCGCAAGTCCATACAGGACTCTGTGCCAAAGGCAATTATGCATTTTCTGGTTAATCACGTCAAGGACAACCTGCAGAGCGAGCTGGTCACACATCTGTACAAGTCGGACAGGGCTGAAACGCTGCTCAATGAGTCCGATCACATTGCAGTGCGCCGAAAAGAGGCTGCAGATATGTTAAAGGTGGGTCATTATAGGATACATGAAATGATATGCTATTGACACTCTTTTCTTGTTGTTTGCAGGCTCTGACTCGGGCAAATCACATCATCAGCGAAATACGTGAGACCCACATGTGGTAGGACGCTGATACGACTTAATAATCCACAAACAATACACATATGCAGCATACAAACTATTTATTGAAGACAACGTTTGCAGAGAACGTTTCCTACTTTGTTGAATGTTTCCCCGCCGGCACCTAAAAATATCATCAAACTGCATGCAGACATTTTCATTTCTTATTCGCGCATTTTGAGTCGTCACTGAAGACGCGAACGCCCAGGCAGCCACGCATTTGTCGACGACACTTTGTCCCCGCTTCAGAGAGCAGTAGAGAAAACCCGCAATGTAGCAGCCGTGATTGGCAAGGCACTTATTACATTTTGAATAGACTAATAAAAAGAAGAAAAGGTTGATTCAAACAATGCCATAAGGTGCATGCGTTTACATGGGATGCGCAGAAGATGTGGCAAAAATTACTCTGCATCTTCATGTTTTGTAATAAAATCTTTAATACTTGAATACCAGTTAAAATCTAATTTGGAAAACGTCATTTGTATTGCGGCAAAATGAAAGTGGGGCTCTCAGGTGTGGCATCATCTCGACGACAACCTACAGTGGGGTGTCCACGGTGCGATACGCTGGTGCGTTCCGGTCATGACTAAACGTTGCGTTGATTAAATGCTCGGCGATGTGTTCCGTGTGTGTGTTTCTGGGGTCTCGTATAAATAGGGGGTAATGAAGCCAGCGCCAGCCTTTGGTTTTCCTGCTACTGCTGCGCCCCACAGCCCTTAGGCGCGGTTCGTGTCGGACAGGACACGGACTATGCAGCCCACGCCGCCCTTGGCGAATGCCTTCTCGTGCCACTGCAACAGATGCCCGCTGGAGCCCTCCGAGGGTATTTCGAAGCCGCGATAAATGTACTTCATCAGCACATCAATCAGATCGTTCTGGTCAACCGTATCAATGGCCTGGTCGATTTGTGTGGACTTGATTGATAAGAGCACCCGCAGCGTAATGTTCAGGGCGTGGTCCTGGAAGCGAAGACACTGATTACAATTCGATCGAGCCGATTTGGCAGGTGCTTACCTTCACAATCTGGTTTTTACAGCGCAACGGAGCGTTCTGGAGAGCACTGAGCAACGCCTCGACCACTTTGCCCTGCGTCAATAGCGTTGTGATTTCGGTCTCGTCTGGCCCGACAGCGGCGCTGTCCACGCCATCGTCCTCCCTGAAGTTGTCCTCGTTGTACTGATCCACATCGATCTTACGGAACGCACTGCTTGAGGTGTTTTTTGCCATTTTATACGCTTATTCTTTACTTTTCCTTGCCGAGAAAATGAATCACGAAGAAGACAAGCGGCGAACAGATGTGCGGACAGGGCTGCCACACGCGACCAAAAATTGGTATTTTTGTGGGTCTACCGTCTCTGGCCACACTGCATATTGACTTTATTGTTGTTTCGTGTGAGTTTTCGTAAAGTCAAAATTTATAAAATTGTTAAAACAATAGTTTTACGCACAGCATGGCAAAGTTCCTGGGCCTCAACCGGCTGACAAAGCTTTTCCAGATCATCCAGGAGTGCGGAGGTCTGAAGCAGACCTACCTGAAGCTCTATAGGTGAGCCCCGTTCTTATATAAGATTGCAGCAAAGCCCAAAACATAACACGGAACATTTTGCAGAAACGATGATCTGAAGATCGGCACACTGGTGGGCATCGACAAGTACGGCAACAAGTACTTCGAGAACCCGTTCTACTTCTACGGCCGCAACCGCTGGGTGGAGTTCACGCCTCATGTGAACATGGACTACGATGGCTCCCAGATTCCCGCCGACTGGTACGGCTGGATGCACTACAAGGTAAAGCTTCTGTTTATTGTTCGCATGGCATAGCTAACTCTTGACTCCACCTGCAGACGGATCTTCCCCCAATTCGCGACGGCAGCCGGCCCAAATACAAGTGGCTTGCGGATCACAGCGAGAACCTCTCCGGCACCAAGGGTAAGCGCAGGCTCGACTCCTCTTAACTTGCGTCTGAAATTTGTCTCTTGCAGAGGCCTACATGCCCTACACGACCACTCCCCCCAAGGTGGAGGCATGGGATCCCTCAGCGAAGAAGCAATAGAAGTTCAGTAGCTTTACCCTAACATTAAAATTCGAGTGCAAATGATTCTGCTGATAAATGGATAATTTTATTTGCTCACAATGAAAGTTTTGTCTTAGAATTATGACTGGATTACATCTAGCCACTCGTTGCTTAGTTTAGGCGTGCCCCATGGGCACTCTAGAAGGATTCCTCTTTGATTTTAAGCGCCTTCTTGGCCCGTCGCTTGTACTTCTTGGCCGTGTCGGCACACTTTGTGGTGATGGTGGCTCGTATGACGCGCTCCTTGCCACCCGTGCGGTTCACGACGCACACCACAATGTCGTCCACCTTTTGCTGGTCCAGCTGCAGTTTGGGAGGTCGCTCGCGCCCATAAAACGCGGGCGAGGGCTTGCCGGTCAGCGTGTGCGTGGCCAACTCGTCGCTGCTGAAGACAGTACCCAACAGCGAGCGGGTGGCCACAGGAGCGCTTGTCCAGAAGACTTCCCCGTACTGATGGGCACTGATCTTGGTGCCGTTTGGCCCCAGGACGTACACATAGCTGCCGTCGACATTCTTGACACGCTGCGGGTATGGAGCCAGGTTCTCGCGCTCGTGCTCGGAAGTGTCCTGCAGGTGGGACTCGGCCGAGCTGACGGATATGTGGCGCGGTCGCTTTGAGGGTGGAGCTGGCACTTCTTCGCAATCCTTGTCGTAGCGCTGGTTCAGTGTCTGCAGCATAGTTGTGAGCCTGGCAAAAAGCTGCTCATAGTGAAGCTGGCTCTTCTGGATTTTGGCCACCTGCTGCCTGAACGAGTCCTCGACGGGAGGCAGCGGCTCTACAGCGGTCTCCATGTTGCGTATGCTGCCGCTTGCTGTGGCTATGGCCATCAGCTTGGCATTAATAATGCGACGGCCGGGAGCAACCTGAGGGCTCCCTGTGTTCACATTTTTCTGTTTCGTAAGCACTTTCTGTAGTGTTTCATGCTCCGTTTTGGGCTCCAGCTTTGGCTGGTGCTGGCCGAAAGGCCTCACCGCTGTTTGTCGCATAAATGTAGTGCGCTGAGCGGACACTTCGCAGTTGATGTAATTCTCAATGTCCATTTCTTCCAACTTCACAATCGGACGCGTGAGCAGTCGTTGGTAGTAGGGCACAAAAGTGGGGGCAAACTGGCTCAGATACTGGTGATATGGATGCGAAAACTGTATATTAGGAAACCGAAGAGATGTCGGTGTCAGCGGGTGCGGCAAGTGCGTTGCAGCAAGTGCATGTGACGCTGTCTTCTTAACCACTGACATGCAAATGTAATTTTCCTCGCTATTTGTAGGGTTGGATCTCTGATCGCTCGAGTTGGTCCAGGCCGCCATTCCCTAAAATGTTGCCAACAGGTAGACAGAATGTTTCGATTTTGCAAATGTGCAGCTGCAGCGGATTTCCAGATTTATTTGCGAATATTTTTTAAGCTCCGAACTGTTTTTATGATCTTGGATTAACGGCATTCATTTTGGCAGATGGCAGCTCTACCTGTCTGTATTTAGGGCTGGCTGCGCTGTGGTTCATTTGCGAAAACTAAGAGTCTAAGGATCAGGGGTACAAAGGACATATATTTCAAAGACATTTCCAATATACTCTAGATACCGCATAAAAGAAGAATACATATAAAATCGGGAATTTATGTTTTAAAACAGGGTATCCAAATATTCATATATTTTGCACGTAAGTTTTGATATTGTATCAAATTGTCCGAGCATCTGTAATAATATCCACCTACCTGAGCGAATTATTGATGGTCCTATGGATATTAATATCAGTTCCAATGCCAGAATAGTCGTGTTTAAGGGTGTGTTTCCTATCAGAGAGAGGATCATATAAGTGCATGTGTGTGTACGCGCATTCTTAAAGGATGTTGTTTATTGGTATTGGTCCCATTGCATTCGAATTCCAATGAATTTCAATGGACCTTGGAAACCGGTTTATTAAAACCCAAATTCTATTGCATATTTGGCTGTTTAGCTAAGGCAAATTAAGAATAAAATGTATTGCTGGGATGCATAAGCACATCTGTATATATCATACAGTATATATAGCGAATATTTATATTATAATTTCAACTTCATCTGCAATTTTGCATGCAGGGCGGAATAGTTTCACTCCATCCCTGGTATAGCAAAATATTCCGGCTGCCCGACAACTCTATGTTCCCGCGCGAAACATATGAAATACAACACGAATGAGAGGGACAGAGCGACAGCTGGGCCGGCTAGTTGGGAAATAGAATACAAAACAGTACTCGTAAATGGAGAATAGAAAGTGAAGAGTGCCACGACAAGGGAGAGATTCCAGCATGGGCAGTCGCAGCCCTTGCACACGTACACATGTATGCAGTTTTGTCGCCGTTTGCGTGTGTGTGTGTGTGTACCTTCTGCGCTCCAGGTAGCTTACTGTAGTTGGAATCCATTGTTTATTAAAAACCTACCCCGAAAGTGCCTGCAGTCTGCTTTTTGCGTAGCGTTCTCTAACATTCTGCCGCCAATTTCCCGAATTGTGTGGCTCATTTGACGCAGATCCGGCAAGGAGATCACTAGAATACGATCAGCAACAGCCATGGATTCCAGCGTAAGTGCATCTTTTGGCCGCCAACGCGTGCAAAGTGCTCACTCTGACGATCCCTTGCAGGAATACAAACGCATCGTGAGCGCCAATGGGTCCCACTTTGTCAGTGTGCGCGATGGGACAAAGTATCAGGGACAGCCGGAGCCAATGCTGCTGAATGCCTGGTCGCAGACCACCGGCGACGACTTTGAGGTGCTGCGCAGCGTTAACATCGACTCCAATATGGATGCCGAGAACCGCGTGCTGCGCGAAAAGGTGCGCTATCTGGAGAGCAAGCTGAAGGAGCACACGGATCTGCTGTCACAGATCCATGCCACATCGGCGCGCATGCAACAGACGCTGGGTGGAACGGATGCTGCGTCCCCAACGCCGCCCGTCTATCAATCCCATCAGGTCCTAACGCCGCCCAGCTCTGTGATCTGCGCACCCGTTAAGAGCACCCAGCAGCAGCGGGCCGAGGTGCTGGACTACAAGATCATTTCAGCATCGGACGACGCCGACGCCATTGAGATTCGACTGGCAGCCGAAAGTCTGAACAGCCTGAGCACCTCGTCCGACTCTGATCGCCTGGAAATGTGTATTGGAACGGACAACCAGCAACCGCCCCAAATACTGAACAGAGACATAAAGCGGGAATTATCCAGACAGCAGGAGTCTGTGCCCTTGCAGTTCATCAAGCGGCGGAAGCTGCAGGAGATCCAGTTACAGGAGTCACCGTCTCCAAAGACAAAAGGCAAGCTGCCCGCCAAGCAGAAGCTCAGAACCAGCGACACCGGCAATGAAAATGTGATGATCTCCCTCGGGCCGAACAACACCTGTGTGCCGGCCAGCGTGTTTGAGAACATCAACTGGGCGGCCTGCTCCCTGGCCACCCGGAAGCTGCTCGTCACAATCTTCGACCGCGAGACCTTGGCCACCCACTCCATGACGGGGAAGCCCTCGCCCGCCTTCAAGGACCAGCCGAAGCCACTGAAGCAAATGCTCGATCCCGCCAAGATCCAAGACATTATCTTTGCCGTCACCCGCAAATGCAATGCCAGCGAGAAGGAGGTCCGCAATGCCATCACCACAAAGTGCGCGGACGAGAACAAAATGCTGAAGATCCAGAACGGAAAGCGTCGAAGTAGCGGTGTCAACGGCAAGGAGAATATGGTTTAGTTTAGGCCAAGACGAAGAATATTTACACAAATTAACCCCCCATATATTATGTTTATTAATTATTTGATTATACAGACTACTACTATATAAGACATGTAGGCTATTTCACAGATCTCGAAGATAATATTCCAATCTGAACCAAATCGTTAGCTATTTTATTTTCTCTGGTGGGACAACTTTACTTGCGAAAAATACTCATTTGAATGGCGCCAAAATGTCACATTATTCAGTATATATTTCAATCGCAGTTTAGTATTTTATGGCGTTGCCATACTGCTTACGCACAGTCAGCTGTTTGCATTTATGTATTTCGCGCTTCGTTTTGCGGCTTCCTCTGTTTTGATTTATAACAAATTAAAGAATGATAACAAAATGTTTGACGATTGAATGGCGGTCGAATTAGAAAACATTACCAACTGTTTTTTGCCCCAATTGGTTGAGAAAGTCTTTGAGCACTACCACGATATATCCAACATTTGCAGCCTCACGAAAGGTAAACTAAATTTGCCGCACCAAAATTTTGAAAAATCTTTCAAATGTAAAACTTTTACAGAGGACCGAGAGCAGTTGTTTTGCGACCTATCCGGCTTGCTGGGCAAGGAGCTGGTGGAGCGTTCCTTGCGTTTGCTGGACGAATATAGCTTCACTTACTACTATTCCAAAAACAATCGCAAACAGTGCCTTGTGGAACTTCACAAAGGAACGACTTATTTTCGTGTGATACCTGGCAATAACTACTGCAAGTGCGACTTCTTCCAAAGCTGTGTGCTGCAGCTGCCCAGTGGAATTCTATACCATGACCTTCCAAGTGGAATAACCACCACACCGGTCGGTTGGAGCGAGGCCAGCAAATTCTCATACACATGCCCGCACGTTTTGGCCCTTAAACTGCATCAATTGCTGCTTAATCCTGCGGGACGTAAGTCATTTGAACAGACAGTAGCTGCAGCGGAGTTTAGGCTCTTGCGCAGCTCCATCTACCAAGACTAGAATGGACTCGCAGTCGTACAGCGACTACAAATTTGTGGGTCGCGTGGATCACGTGAAGACCTTCAATACGGCCATCAAATCGATTTGCTTCAATGATGTAAGTTCAGTGCTTCTCCGAATTGTTTGTGCATTACATTGTTTCCATTCTCCCACAGTATGCAGTTCTTCATATCTCCGACGAGGGACTGCGCATCACAGTGGAGCAGGGCAGGTCGATCCAAGCCACTCTCTTTATGCCTCCGGGTGCCTTTACGGAGTTCCATGTGCAGGACTTTCAAAGCTTTGGCTTGAAATTGAACGACCTCTCGGAATGTCTGAACCTATTTGGCTCGGCTGACTGCAGCATCCGGATGATGTACAAGGATCAGGGCGAATGCCTGTATCTTATTCTGTACCCGTACGACGACGAGGATGTGAGCACAGAGTGCGCCATCAAGACAATGGACTGCGAGGAGCCCATCGACCACGACATGAACCTGAAAGGTCCTGATCTGAACGTTATTTTTGCCCGCGGCCCAAACTTGTACAAGATCTTCCATGAACTGGATAAGTCGGCGGAGGAATTTGAGTTCATCACTTCGCCCGACAGTCCGTACTTCAAAATTACCACCGTTGGCGTACTGCAGGCGGTGTTTAGCGTCGAGGTGGCCAAAACCAGCTCCATGATGATGATGTTCAACTGTCGCCAGACTGTGAAGGCCAGATATAAGAGCCAGCAAATACGGCTCACGAATAAAGCCATGCAGGCGGCCACCAAGGTGGCCATCAAAACCAATTCCATCGGCCTCCTGGAGCTGCATCTAGTGATACAAGGAGAGGGCCAGGAAGAAATCTTTGTACAGTTTTATGTCATTCCCTTGCTAAATAGTGTCGATTAGATTATATCTATTAAAAATCGTGTCTAGATGTAAAATCTTCTTGGGTCTGCTAATGCTCAAACCATTCATGAAATGTGGCTTGAGTTAACCAATTCATAGAGCAGTTTCAGATGTGAAAGTGTCGCTCAGCGCTAATTTCATTTTTAATTTGGCATCTTTTCTTATTTATTCATAGTTTAGTTTTGTCTTCTACGAGTATTTTTAGGCGTACTTCCTGTACAGCTTGTGTTTCTATACAAAATATTCTGACACCATTCAATCCTTAAGTAGCTTTCAGTTGCCACAGCAGAGTCAGCAAAGTTATAGGTGTTCTTTTCATGAATCATTTTATAAATTATACATAGAATAAATAAATCGGAGCCCTCATTTATTCTAGTTAATGTCTCGTGAGCTCGTTTTTATAAACTATGCACAAAATCCATTTTAAATCCCTACCACATTATTTACAATTTTATTTTCCTTCGTGCCGCTGGCCATACAAGTTAACTGTTAATTGATAGCTCGGCTCAGTGCATGACGCAGAACATCTTAGACGAGAGCGAGAGAGGGATAGCAGGAGATAGCAGGCGGGCGTTAGCGCAGCTTCGGGCTGCTGCTGAGCCGAGCCGAATAAAAGAGAGAGAGTGCGAAGAAACGTAGAAGGTGGGAAGCATAGACGAAAGAACGGCAGCATAGAACTGTATGTATATATGAACATATGTATGTACAGTGAGTATTGGATATAGCGAACATAAGTGATAATTTGGTCAAGGCTGTAACTTGAGCAAATTTAGACTACAAATGGGGCTGATAAACCCAACATATGTAACTTCAATACATATTTTAGAGCCCTGGACTCATCAATCCGTTCCCCTTCGCATAGAACACTGTCATTGGCGCTTAATTAATCTACCACAAAATCTTCCGGCTGTGCTGATAAGTCATCTATATTGTTTTAAAAATATCTACAACGCGTTTAAATAAATGTCAATATATTATTTGTATATTTTACACGCGGAACCAACACAGTCACACACACAGAGAGAGAGACCACGGAAAATTATCAACATGGAAAACAGCAAAGACAGCCTGAACGGACGGCGATCGATTCAATCAGAGCGCCAGCATCGAGTCAATCAGTACCAGTCGAGAGTCAGCGGAGACTGCAAATACACGGATCGCGGCAACATGTACATAATTGTGACGCTGGGACTGATCGTGGTGCACTTGTTGTTGCTGCCCATCTACGTGTACCTCACCTGGCACCACAAGTACTGGCGCAAGAGGGGCCTGGTGACGGCTCGTCCGCTCACGCTGTTGGGCACGTATCCGGGACTGCTGACGAGGCAGCGCAATTTGGTGGAGGATCTGCAGAAGGTGTACGAGTGAGTTGGCGTCTGAGCTTGGGCATTGGGTTTCAGCTCATCTGAGAGTTTCTTTTGAAGTAAATACAAGGGCAAGCATCGGGCTGTGGGCGTGTTTGTGACGCGTCAGCCGCAGATCTTGGTGCTTGATCCTGCGCTGGCCCACGAGATTCTGGTGAGCAATTTCCGCTGCTACAAGGACTCACTGACCAGCTCGTACATACGGCATGCCAAGTGGGACAAGTACGCGCGCCGCAATCCCTTCTGGGCCTCCGGCAAGTCCTGGCGCAGCCTGCGCACAGATGCCCAGGCTGGGATTTCTAGTCATCGACTGAAGCAGGCCTATGCCATATGGGAGGAGGGTGGCAAGATGCTAACAAACTACATGGCGGCACAGGTTACGGAGCACAAAAATGTTCTGGAGACCAGAGATGTGAGTAGGACTGCACGAGCCATAAATGAGAACCCATTCTAAGGCTCTTCTTTCGCAGCTCTGCTTTCGCTACACGGCCCATGTCATGGCTGACTTTATTTGGGGCATCGATGCTGGGACTCTGACCCGGCCTGAGGAGCATCCCAACAAGGTGCAGCAGATGGCCAGCAAGTGGACGAGCTATGCCTTCTATATGATCTCCGTATTCATGGCCACGATTGTGGCTCCCTTCAGCCGCCTGCTGCTGCGCCTGCGCTTCTATCCCAAAGAAACGGACGAATTCTTCTCCAAGCTAACCAAGGAGTCCATTGCCATGAGGCTCAGTGCTGGCAGTGCTGGCTCCCGCACAGATTATCTCGCCCATCTGCTGCAGCTGCGCGAACAGAAACAGGCCACGCACGACGACCTGGTGGGACATGCGCTGACCGTGATGTTGGATGGCTACGACACCACGGGAACTGCTCTGCTTCATGCTCTGTATTATGTGGGTGAGGCAACAGTTTGATCTGTAAACTATTCCACTGACGATCCTTTCAGCTGGCGGAGAATCCGGCAAGCCAGCAGAAACTGCGCACGGAAATCCTGAGTAACCTCAACACCGACAGGAGTCTCAGCTTCGAGCACTTGTGTGGCTTGCCCTATCTGGAGCAGGTGGTCTATGGTATGTTCTCTCTCCACTTTGTAGCAATAACTTAATCGGTTCTTTGGCAGAATCTCTGCGGCTGAGCAGCCTCATTCCGCAGTACACAAAAGTCTGCACGAATGCCACAAACATTCAGCTCAACGAATCCAAAACCCTAGAGGTGGAGGCAGGCATGACCATCATGATACCCAACTATCAGTTCCATCACGACAAAAGATATTTTCCCGATCCGGAGCTGTTCAAGCCGGAACGTTTTGATGCTGCTGCCCATCTCGAACTCATTCGCAAAGGTGTCTTCCTGCCCTTCAGTGATGGACCTCGCATTTGCATGGGTATGTCGCAGGGGATACAACTTCCACTTCTTATATGCATCCCAAATGTCTCCTTTAGGCATGCGTCTGGCTCTGTTGACTCTCAAGTCCGCTCTGATCCATATTCTCAGCGAATTTCAAGTGGTGCGCGGCAGGGAGAAACTCAGACCCCAAGGCGACGCTGGCTTCGGCATGGTACTCCAGGGTGATGTTCATCTTGAGTATCGACGCTTCTCGCGATAGTGTGGAGAGTGCTTACAGTGCTCGAATATACTTTTAATTCACAATTTGATTGTGATTTGCCGTTGTAGCTGATGTGTGAATGTTCACGCTTTGTAATACAAAATTCTTTGATGAGATAATGTAATCTTCGACTTGTAATCTTGCCGTACCCTCCTACTGTCTCTACATATCGCCAGAGTCGCCGCGATAATGCTATCAGCCTGCAGGTCGAACGAATAGAACATACAACTTTTAATATACATTTTAGCAAAAACAGCAATAAACTTTCATGCTATCAGATGCTCGATTCCATTCCCATTTTTTGACGCTTTGTTCGCTGTTATTTGTGGACAGTTTCCATTCGCTGCTCGTGCGGATCTGTTTGATTAGTTGGCCAGCATGTGGACGTTAGTCGGTCTGCTCTTGGGCGCTGTTCACATTGCCTTTGCCGGGGCTTACTTCTACTTGACCTGGCACCACAAGTACTGGCAGAAGCGGGGCGTGGTCACTGCGGAGCCACTGACCATTCTGGGCACTTATCCAGGCATTCTGGCCGACAAGAGCCGCAGCCTCATACTCGACGTGCAGGAGGTGTACAAGTAGGAGTAGAAGAATCCTCCACTAAACGTTTGCTAAATGCATGAGTGTGTTATTCCACAGCAAGTATAAGACACAGCACCGAGCTGTGGGCACTTTCCTCACACGACAGCCCCAATTGCTAGTGCTGGATCCGGCGCTGGCCCATGAAGTGCTGGTGGATAAGTTCAGCAACTTTCGGGACACCATAACCAGCAGCTATGTGGGGCACAATCCCGACGATAAGTTCGTGCACATATCTCCGTTCTTCAGCGCCGGCGATGACTGGAAGAGAAGGCGCACAGAGAACGGCGGCGGACTCACGCCGAGCAAACTGAAGATGGCCTTCACGATCTGGGAGCAGAGTGGCAAGAAACTGCTCGAATACATGGAGCGGGCGAGGCACGAGCAAGGCGACATCATCGAGACCAGAGATGTGAGTTGTAGTTTGTTGCAGTAGTTCCAAGAACTGATCTCCTCTGCTTGCAGCTCGCCTATCGCTTCATGGCCAACACAATGGCCGACTTCATATGGGGCATTGACGCGGGCTCCCTGACCAGCGCCGTTGGAGAGATAAGTCCCTTTCAGAAGACCTCCACGGCCTTTACCATCACCGCCTTCCAGTCCATCATCAGGTTCAACAAGTCCTTGGTGGCCCCTTTCCTGCGCAAGCTGCTGCAGATGCGTTTCTTCACCAAGGACTCGGATGAGTTCTATCTGCAGCTCACTCGGGATGCCATTAAGCTGCGCCAGAGTGGCAGTGGCTCCGACCGCACGGACTATCTGTCTCATCTCATGCAGCTGCAGCAGCGGGGCAACTGCATCGCGGATTCGGTGGGTTATGCGCTGTCCGTTCTGCTGGATGGCTACGAGACCTCCGCCGCCGTTCTCTACCATTTGCTTTACACGGTAATTCCTTTGTATCATATTCAATGCAACCGATACCTAAAGCTTAACAATCTTATCAGCTGAGCGAGAATCATGAAGAGCAGGAAAAATTACGCACAGAACTCACAGAGGCACTCCATGCGGAGGAGCACATCAGCTACGAGAAGTTGAACGCTTTGCCCTATCTGGATCAGTGCTTAAATGGTACGTACAGTCCCTGTAGTCCCTGAGTCCCTAACTTTATAAGTTTGTCCTTCTCTCTTTCAGAGTCTCTACGCCTCACCTCACCCATTGGCTTCTTCATGCGAATCTGCACAAAGGCCACGCAACTCGATTTGGGCAATGGCAAAGTGGCGGATCTAGAGCCAGGAACTAGTGTCATGATTCCCGCCTATCAATTCCATCACGATGATGGCTTTTATACGGAGGCAAGTCGCTTCCAGCCGGAACGCTTTGACAACGGTGCGGCGACTGTGCTGACCAAGCGGGGCTGCTTTCTGCCCTTTGGCGATGGTCCACGCGTTTGCCTAGGTGCGTAATACACTGAAATCATATCTAAAATGTTGCTTTGACTCGCGCTGCATCTGAAAGTCAACAAGTCTTTTATCAGCCATATTCTGCACTTAATCTATAACTTTCTTAACCATTTAATAACCGTTCCACTCTCCACTTCTCCAGGCATGCGTGTTGGGCAACTGAGCGTTAAAACGGCCATTCTGCACATCCTCACACAGTACCAGGTTGAGCAGACCGAAAAGGTGCCCATGGATGCAGACAGCGGCTTAGGAATATTCCTCAATGGCGATGTTCGGCTGAAATATACAAAATGTCTATAATCATTTTCGCTCATTTTTATATATATAAATACATGTGTATACAGTGTGTGTGTGTGTGTGTTTGTGTTGGTCTTTGGGGGCCCAGCCGCGTCGAAATTTAATTTAGCGCAAACCGACCACAGACCCACTGACACTGCCCGGGCTGCCACCACCTCTCTCTCTCCTATTCAGAACTGAGCCTTTATACTATATATTTCCCTTTCATATTGAGCGACCGCATGCAGTGGACGTCGACGAAGGACAACGGACAATGGACAACGAAGGACGAAGGACGATGCCGATCCCCAGCCACAATGCCACCGCGTGTGTATGAGTATTGTGCAGCATTCGCTGGCTTTCTCTTTCTCTTGCTCCTCCACTACACTGCCACGGGGTTTGACTATTATTTTGTTGCAGAAAGAATATTTCCCGCTTTATGTGGCACATTTTTGTGTTTCCTGTGTGCGGCAAAGGTATACAAAATTCGCTGTGTCACAAGTTGGACTTGCATTTATTTGTATTTACATTTTTTTCGCTTCTTTTTGTTATGCAACAAGCCACAAAATTTCATTTGAGCTTGCAACATGGCGCATTCAAATTTGTTCCATCTGCCCCGACACCAAAATGCATAAAGCGGGTGGCCGTCGCTGTCGAAGAGGAAAGCGAAAAAGTATTTCCCCTGCAAATGAAACTTTATGGCGACCCTAAGCCAATGGGGGCCAACGTTTTATTTATGAGCCTAAGCAAATTGCGAATTAAAAACGGAAAAATGAAGCCACAAATATTTGAATTCAATTTGAATGCTGATATATTTGTGCGCCGCGGATGGGTAAGCCACGATCAAACAGACAAACAAACAGTCGTAAAAAGTGAATGAGTGCAGAACAGGGGAACATTTCCGCTTTTCCGCAGCTAAAAGGCAATGGAAAAGGCAAAGCCTTCATTTCATGTTGCAACAACACTCGAAGATAAGCAGCGACAGTGGCAAAGAGCGAGCAGGACATGCCCCAGGCACAGGCAGAGAGGCCCAGACCCAGACCCAGACCCAGACCCAGGCCCAGGAGCTGCCGTGCTTCATGCTACGTTGGCTTTTATCCAATTTACCTGATAACCACAAATGAGCGTTAATGGGCAAATAAATAGAAAAGTGCCAACTACGCCACTGCGAAGCGTTAACTGAGTGGAGCCACCGCGCCGGTGGCTGGTCGCTGGCACCAACTTGGGATCCCATAACCGTTTGTGCAGCTTGATGCCCTGTCGCGCATTACTTTAGTACACATACTAAACAAGTTTAATATGCCTTCCTCCCGTTTCAGGGCTAGGTTAACTCAGGGCTGTTAGAGAATCTCTGATGCAGAAATTGTAAATCCTCAAATCGGATTTTATGGGCAACCGCATCAATTTTGGGTCATTAGTGAATAATGGAGGATGCCAGAAAAGTGTTTAAGCAAACAAATGGAAACGCTAAATGGAAGCGTGATTAAGTTGGGTACGAAAATGTACGCCGATAAACCTTAAAACGTAAGCCAGGACACACCAGGCTAATTTCTTGCTCGCACTGAGCAAAGGACTGGCCCTTGGCCGTTCTGTGAGTGGGAATCCCAATCAGTTGCCTGTCCTCGCACCCATCGTCGAACACGTTCGACAAACCTGCGCCACACCCTGGCAAACAATGTGCCAAATTCGAAGCGGGGCTGATGGCAGCCAGGGGTCACGGCACTCGAGCCTGGCCAGCATTAATTTGTGCACGTTCCATTTGCCAGCGACTCCCCAGCCATTGGGTGCTGGTCTGTGTCTGTGTCTGTGTCTGTGTCTGGGCTCTTGGGTGCTGGCGGCACTGCAACACTTTGGCCACAAACACAGAAACAAACACCAACAGCAACCAGCAGGGACGGCAGAGATGCAGATACGCCGAGATGCAGAGGTAGACAAAAGCGTTGGCCAGCAAACGGGTAATGGAATTAGCAACAATTTAACCATTAAACACATCATGTGCATTGGCATGTGGTACATTCAGTTGGTGGATTACCCTCTTCCAGGCATCTCCCTCTGGTAGCTTCAGCTACCCTCAACTTCTGGACCCATTAAGCATTGTTTCGAGTCCCATTTCCCCGCTCGGTTCTGGCTGGTTGGCTCAGTTACAAGTGTGCTCGCCCTCTCTCGTGTCTGGCTGGCGGTTTACTGGAATTAAATCAGAGCAGAACGTTGCCATTTTGGCTTTAGCCTGCTTAATAGACCTTTGGCTGCTTCTATCGCAATGCAACTGATTGGACGGGCTCCCTGCCACACGTGGCCATTAATTAAATGGTCATCAACTTTCATCTTTACCAGCCCACATCTTCTGCCTGTTCCAGGTCCAAGTCCCTCCAGAGTGGATGAGCAGCAGCTCAGGCTAAGTATCTTTTGCTTTTATGGCAGGTAAGCCAGAGAACAAATTTCTGCTGACGCAGTCCAACATGTTGGCCATAATATAAATAAGTGACAGGAAAAGTTTGCTAGGTGGGAAAACCACTCTTGATGGTTCCGTTGGCAAGGCAAAGACGATTCCTTGAGCTTATTTAGTTGCTTTTAATATTTTCTTGGGCTTCATTTGGTTTAGCGTGAAGCTTGAAGAACTATTTCCAATCAGTGCCACATCAGCATCACAAGCCAATTTGTTCAAATAAAATACACACATGACTGTAGGCATTTGTGCAAATGGTTGCCTCTTGTGCTTGTGCTGATTTTATTTGTGTGTGCTGATGATCCCCGCTTAGGAACGGTCAGGTAATTGTGCAGGAAAAATGGCACCATTAGCCCAACAAATGTGTTGTTTCCACATAGATTGCCCAAAGGTAAGCAAGAAACCAAAACGAAACCAACTGAACCGAGAACACAGAACCGAGAACACAGCACCCGGACCATGGCTGTATCCATCTTCGGCTCGGTGGGGTTCAACCTTAATTAAAATTAGAAAGTGCCCAAAAAGTCAAGCGAAAATTCCACTCAGAGTGCAGCGAGGGGTGTCTAACATTTTCATTAGCGAAGCAAATGAAAATTAAGCGAATTCTAAATGAAAATAGACAGCCAGTTTGGGTCTGCTGTTGCCGCTTTTGTTAATTCGTTCCCCAGACACCCCGGACGCTGGCCATTCATAAATCATTAATATGCAAAAATGACGGGTAAAGAGGCGCCTATTAAGTCCATATACATGGCTTAAATATTACGAATACGCCCACTTGAGCAGCCAGCGAGCCAGACAGAGTTCCAGGTCCCTCTTTTGGCCTTCCTCTTCCTCTTCCGTGGTGTCTGCCCTGGTCTGCGGGTGTGTGGCAGATAAAAACTTAAAGAATTATAACTTTGGGGCTTCTGGATGTCTCCGAGGAGCGAGCACAACGACCACAAAAGTAAATAACAAGCCAGGACGGCAAACTCTGCACAAAAAAATAGCCAAAGAGAGAGGCAAGTTTTAAATATAATTTCAGCTTTTGTGCTAGTGCGTCAACATGGAACACGATATGGGGAGACCAGTCCGCAAAAAAATACACACAAAATAAGGGAAGTGTCTCTGTGGAGCCCGATAAGTTACTTGGCTGGGAATGTCCTCCCATGCCCTCGCAGGCCCTGTCAATATTTGTTTCGCAATCAGCAAATACGTGTGCAGTCAATGGACTGGGCCTGCTCGGGCTTAGGGCTCGGGATATATGAAGTTTTGTTGGTCAGCAGAGGCAGTCGTTTGACTTTGGGCCAACCAACCAACCATACGCCAAAGAAATTGGAAACAAACCCAAAGCACACAAGAGCAAACCAATGGAATACACTTGCAGCTGGTCAATTACAAAAATTGGGCACCTTTTCCAAGTAGTTTGCACATTTTCTCATTGATTTTAGGCTGGGGTAATTTGATTTGATTTGTATTTTGTTTCAATGTTTGTTCGGTCTAATAAGTACTCGTAACATTGACAAGTGTCAGCGACTTCGCGGGACCAGCTGTCATAGACAAACACACACACACACACACACACACACTTAAGGACTGTCAAGAGCACTGACAACTGTCAGGACATCACGGAGTACAAGCCGCTTAGTGCTTGACGTTTTCACCTCCAGCATTGGGTGAATCATGAAAAGTGATTTGCTTGCACTTGGCTTTAAGAGTGTAAGTCCAATGGACATTCTTGCAACGAGTCAAGATGCCTCAGGAGACGACGCGTCGGTAGGAGATTTCTCCTCATGCCTGTTTTGAATTAATTGACGGAAAGAATTTGTTTTCATATTCCTGCAATGATTAAACATTAAATACAGTGCTTTATTTGAGCAAGCCCCTACTTAATAACTCGTAAATCCTAATGGCATTGCTTTCTCGGTCTTATCATCATCTGAGCCCGCTTCAGCGAGTACGTATGACCCTTGAACTGATACCAGTTGATGCCCTTTCCGTGCGTGTTATCGCCATACTTGCCAGCCAAATTGCTAGAAAAGCAGACAAAATCAGGGAATCAGTGAATATTTTGGCAATTAGTTTTGAATGCATATAGAAGTATTTTTACCTGTGATGACACGCATTGTACCACCATGCACTGGAGTAAGTGACTGCGCAGTTGCTCGCTGCGTGCTTGTCATTATCGCGATCTCGTGTGGTGAACTTTTGGCCCAGATGGGTGGCGAGGGCATCGCCGGCATTCCCGGAGGTATTTCCGAGTGACTCCAAGGCAAATCCATCTTGCTCTGAGCCGATTTTAAAGTTGTCGTACATCTGGTATCGCCGCTCGCCCCCATTGTCCTCCAGGAGAACGAGTAGTTCCTGGCCCTGAGCCGAGCTCATGGCATGCAGTTTGTCGAGGCCCAGGAAGAACTCATTTTCCAACTTGCCGAACCCGTTCTTGTAGTCATTCCAATCCCGGTAGAAGTCCTCACTGCCGTCAGTACGCCGCAGGACGATGGTCCAGCCGCCTCCATGGGACAACTGGTCACAGGCCACCACAAAGGGGTGTTTACTGTACTCGGGCACCACGATCACATTGATCTCGCTGTGCTGCGTTA